AGTAGGCCAAACTTGTGCTTTTGAGACAGAAACGGCGCGCACCTTGCGGTTCGGCAAGTTGGGTGGTTGTGTTTTTAGTGTTTTTTATTTATTTTCTTTTGCTATCGTGAGCTTTTTCCTTTAAAAATTCAAAAGCAGAAGTTTTTCTTACCTATGTTGCGCGTAAAACAACTGGAATGCGTCAAGCACTAGGCCTAACCAAGGCCCTAAATACGAGGGCCTAACCCTAATTCAATATGCCCTGACCCTGGGCCTAACATTGACATGAACAGTTGCGATAAACACTTTGACAGGCTTGCGCTGGTGATGGTGTTTCGCACGATTCTGTGTGTAGCATTCCACACTATAACCGTGTGCTGATGCTAAGGAGAAACTAACCCGGTTTACATAGCATATTTGACGAGGCTCTAGCTTGTTAATTAGGCGATAATTTTGTTGCAGTGGTCTTCAAGTATTTATAGGGGATCATTTTGTAAATTGTTAAGCACCATTGGCATCTTTTGCAACATCACGGACGGAGATATAAGCTTGCAACAAACCCTATGTAAACGCGTCTATTGAAAATGTCATTATCTCCAAAGTTTTCGTGGAGGAGAGACATGTTATCATTGAAGATGTTTCAACATTTGGATAAAGCCAGGTGCTTTACATTTTACGGAGGCCAGTTTCGATAGGCCATACTATTTTCTGGACGATTTGCCAGCTGGCACTGTAATGTATGGTGGTGCTAGCAGAGCTTGTTATACATCAATGCCTGATACAGATAATTAAATATAATTTTTAATTTTTCTATGAGTACCATTTTACATGTTCATGTTTAGCTTCTACTGCATTTATATCAATGAATAACATAGCTATTGTACATCACCAGCTGGCCAGCCAGCTGATTTTATAATTTATCCAGTTGTTAGTAAGGCCTGTTTCAACAGCCAATAATTTGAGCTGCCAGTGTTTTTGTTTATAAATCTCACGAGTCAAACCAGTCACATGAAAAATAGCCGCTGATGCAAAAACATCAGTCAGGCTGGCTGATATTTTCATTGATATTTTCACTTTAGTGATTATATTTGGTTGGCAAAGGTGGTGGCAAGTTATGGGAAAGGGTAACCACAGGTGGTGATCTTTTATGTTGTTACAACTGGCCTCTGAGCTCTTAAGTGTATTGGTTCCTGCTATTCCAAATTTGTGTAGTCATTAAGAAAGTGACTGGTTACAACACTGTGGAAGTGAAAAAGAAAATATAATGAGGTATTTAATTATGACAAGGTAATGAGTACTTTAAAAAACCAATGCCATTCAGATGCCTACAGCTTATGGTAGTAACTTTTAGGGGCCTTACTAACAACTGGATAAAATCAGCTGGCTGGCCAGCTGGCGACATACGATAGCTATGAGGTTTATTAATTCTCGCCCGTATTGGTGTTTTTCCAGCCGCGAACGTATAGGGGGGGGGGGGGAGGGGCGGGTCCGTTAGACCTCCCCTTGCCGTTTCGCCCCTGATTGAGCTAGAGCTTCACAGAAAAAACGAGCGTGCTGCGCATGACGAGAGGAAGCCGATGATACCCAATTTTAGGGTCCTAGGTCATTGGTTAACCTTCCAGGTCAGGTCAATGACCCAAAAGTCGGGAAAATCGGGACCTGTTAGAACGTCGTAAAGTGTGGCCGCTATGGAGTTTTCGGGGTGCTGATGACGAATATCATGTTAGTTTAGATCACAGCTGATGTTTTCATGCATTTAGGCCAGGTAGGGTCAGGTCAGGTCAGGTCAGGTCAGGTCAGGTCAGGTCAACCGGTAGGGGTCTTGCTGGGTACTCGTAGTACATGGCAACCGCCTCTGACAGCTTCGTAACATGTTACGATGGCACCGAAACTACTTCGTAAGTGTTCATATGGTTGCTAAATTCGAATTAAGCTCCAAAAACTGGCCTTAAAACATGTAACACTCGAAAAAGTGAACCGAGCTCATCAAAGGTCAGTGACCTGACCTGACCTTCAGGTGACCTTTACACCCACCCTAATGCATGGGACCAACATCATTTCACATGCTTGAACGCTTGAAGCTACGAAAAGACCGCAAACGCGCGGCTAATGCGAGCCGACATACGCCGAATCGCGATTCCGGCCAAACATGGTCTCGAAAAGTAGGTCAGAGGTCATTTCGGTCAGGGTCATGAAATTTTCAGGTTAGGTGGAAAAATGATAGTCACCGTGGAAAAATGATCAACTCGAGGGTACTGAGAGTTTCGTCGCGATTGGCCGCTTTTTACGCGACTTATTCGCGAAAAACCGAGGGGGTGTTCGTTCGACCCCCTCCCCCCTATAGGGCGAGGGTTAATATAAACACAGACACAGTAGTATGTAGATGGACATGAACACGTAAAATGGCACTCAGAAAATGACAGAAAAGTTAATAGATAGACATTCGGTCGTTTATATCTAGCATTGATATATATATAATCAGCTCTGCTAGCGCCACTATATGGCGCCAGCTGGCAAATAATCCAGAAAATAGTACGGCTTGCTTTGAGCGCTAGTATCTATGACCGTGCTTTGAGCTAAGAAACCTTGATCCTGCCTGACCATTTACCTTTTTACCATCTTATATGATGTCTTGATGTGAAAATGAGAACATGATATCACTAAGTCAATAACTTTACATGTGATTCATTTCAGGTTTACTATAAGGGCCCAACATGTTTAAAAAGTAAGTATGCTAAGACCTTAACAGCCTTGTTCTCATAGCGATGCTTTAAGCTGTGCAGATAAGCCACAACCAGGGTGGTTTATCTCTATGCTACCTATTCAATTATAAGTTTGCATGTTGAATTGTATCATAACTTTTCCTGCATTTATATACTATTGATGCACCAGCTCCACATTAAATGATTTTTTTTTTTTAAATATACAGATTGTGCCTAGATCTAGTCATAGTTGGCATTCTTTCTTGTCATAGTAATGCTAGATTGTGATGCCTTTGAGGTTTATGTATTGGTTTGCTCCTTGATGTGAAGTAGAAAACAGGAGACGGTAGACTTATGGTCATTTGATTTTTTTCAGGTTTGATGAAAAGGAGAGTGTGTCCAATGTGCAACAGCTGAAGTCGTCCGTGCAAAAGGGAATACGAAACAAGATAGTTGAGCTGCATCCACATATTGAGAATTATATTGATGGAATCCTGCCAAAGAAAGAACCCCTAAGAATTTTGAAATGGTAAACAATGTAAACAATTCAGATCATTTTTAATTTATTCAAAGTCCATTTTTCACTCGCACCATCGATCTAATTTTGTTGCTGCATACCTAGCTATTTCAGCTGTAATGATTAAACCTGTCAAGAATAGTTGTTTTTTGTGTGGCTTTCATCATTTGGTGGCTGAGCAGCATTGTATTTGTATGTACACGACATCAGGGAAAGATCCAACATTTAAATAGATATCACAAACTTCTAGCAAAACTTCTGACGACCTTCTCGTATTTTCCAGCCACGATCATATCGAGATCCTGATCAATAGCGGCGGAGAGCTGCTCTTCTTCCGGCAGCGGGACGGTCCCTGGATGCCGACACTCCGCCTCCTGCACCAGTGTAAGAACCGGACTTTCCGCAGTACAACTTAATTAACGACGACGGCACCCTGACCATGAACCACCAGTCGTTCCAGTCTGTGTGTCATTGTGAAAGCATAGCTACCAGTCCCTCTTCATGCTATTATGTAATTGAATGTGTTGAATGTTGGCTGTGATTCTGTCTGTGGTGATTAAGACGAGTCTGACCGCTGAGACTATTCCTGTGCCGTGTGTCCGAGGTCCACCGGGTAGATTTCTGACGTCTTCCCGCCCGCCGCAGACCCGTTCCTGCTGCCGATGCTGCAGGTGGACAAGGGCGCCATCCGCTTCGTCCTGTCGGGCGCCAACATCATGTGCCCCGGACTGACGTCCCCCGGCGCCAGGATGACGACCGTCCCCGAGAAGACGCCCGTGGCCATCATGGCAGAGGGCAAGCAGCACGCGCTCGCCGTCGGACTCACAAAAATGTCCACCGACGACATGTAAGTACTATGCTGTTTTGAATGACTAATGATATGCTTCATTATCAGATATATTCACATGAATTATTTTTACATTGCTCGTGTATCATGCGACCTATGTACATCTACACGGATGAAATGCATGCATTCCCATAAAAACTATCAAAATTGAAAACTATGTGTGGCAAGAGATCCCGGCTTTCAATGCGCCAGGGGGCTGCACATATCGCTCACCAGATCGGCCACTTATGCAAACGGTGCTATCGATCTGACGATCGACCTTTTAGGCATGCCTGAACGATGTTCATTGATCGAGTTCTTCTTGGTGGCGCTTCACATATGTTCTCCGGATGTCTGTTTCAGCTCGAGGATCAACAAAGGTATCGGCGTGGAGAACTGCCATTACCTTATAGACGGCCTCTGGAACATGAAGCCGGTCAAGTGACACTGAGGGGAGTGGTCGGACCGCCCGACCGGCCTTGCCGCCAGGACCGCCGCCGCGCCGCGCGACTCGCCGCGGCATCCGCCATTGCTGTGATTGAAATGAATAAATTTTGTTTCGTGCATTATCTATTTATGGTGATGATGGTGATATACTCTCCCTACGCGAGCGGTAGTGTTGGTTGCGGTTTTGTCTCGCATGACGTTAGTTTCGCCTATTTTCCTGTGTTTATAAATGCTCGACTTGTTTTTGTTTAGCAATCATCTTCTGTACCAAGTGTACAGATATGTTTATACTACGCCTCCAGGCTCCAGCGGTTACGCTGTTTACGGGACAGTTAAGTTATGGGAGTTTCTTCGCGACTCACAAGGTCTTTGCATTCTCAGTCTTGGCCATGCTTCACTCGTTCGATGATTCGCACGCGTTAGATCGGTTAAACTATGTATATATAAATACTCCACGTCAGCGTGGATTGTCGCTGTCATACCTGATTTATGATTCACACATCGGTTTGCGAAGTTCGAAACGCTGAATGATTTCAATCTCTAATGCATTGCGAACGCTGCTTTTAATTTACCGGCAGCGTGCTATTTATATTGTCACCTAACAATGCGCAGCGCGCTACAAATGACTCAAAGCATTTATCGTAAACTTCAGAGGGAGTGCCGCCGGCACAATATTATTTATATTTTTTAAGGTTTTGAACTTGACCAACTTCAAGTTCTGGGCTGTCAAGCATTTCTCCGTTGAATCACGGCCCGGTTAATTGCTGGTTCGGGACACTGAATTCCAGTTTTGTGTCTGAAAAGCGGTGTTAAAATGACCGACTATGATGAGCCAATATCAGACCAGGAAAAGGTATGATTTTAAATACCCAGAGTTTAAGCAGGGGGTTCCAATGTATTCAACACGTTGTTTTGATTAATTAAAACATGAACTGTGGATGTAAATAGGATCTTGTGTGTGTCATATATCTAATATCTGGAACTCCCAGAACTTGGAGTTAGGACATTGATGTTAAAGAGCTACATTTTAAATGCCATAAGAACTTAAAATAAATTGGTCATGCTCACAAATAAATGTTTCATATAAGTCTGTTTGTGACTATGTTAGCGCCTGTGCCATCAATTTTTTGTGGTTCAGCTCGAATTAAAATGAATATTTCTTGCAGGTGCGGATTGTTTCCGACTTCATTCTTCACTCACCGCCTGGGGAGTTCAATGAAGTTTTCAATGGTGAGTTTTAAGTACTAAAAGCTGAGGATGCTGTCTGGTGCATCAAATTTGCATATTGTGCATCTCCAAGGTACGAGTCAATGACCTTGTCCCTGAATACAGCTGGGGGAGGCTGGTGGTGAGGAGGCTGCTACTTGGCAAAGATGGCAGTTACTGGGTGCAAGTGTGTGTTAAGGTAGATGTGTGTGATTGTGTGTGATTCTGAAGAATTATGGTCACACCCTTAACACTGATGGCTTGTATGCCTCCCCCCCCCCCCTAGGGTAACTAGCGTGCTCCAACAGGGCTTTCAATTTTGAGGCTGCAGGTTTTGAGTTGGTGGGGCCTGTCCGACTGTGGTGGTTGCCGAAGTGTTGATTTGTGTATCTGTTCACTGCGCTGCCACACTAATGTGCCAGCAGTCTGACTCTGGGTCTTCATTAGTTTATTCATTGCTTTGCTCATAGTCATTCCACAGTTACAGTCTCAGTTGGGCAAACTAGGCGGCGGGAATCAAAATATGGAGGCATCAAAATATTGATTCTAGTGGGCGGAGCTTTGACCATATATGGGCATACGTGCAGACCATCACAGAAACGTCAATTCTTCAGCAACCGGCTATAATTTCAAGATAGTTTCTTCACAAAATGAAGAACAACGTTGAAGCTACCCGCCAGGCACGAAACAATAGCCCTAACCTCTTTGGTTAGTTTAGGAAAGCGTCTTGAAAATAATCAAGATATTGATTCATCACGGCGGCTAATCCCGGCGAGAATCAATATTTTGATTCCGCAAACAGCTGGCTAATCATTATTTTGATTCTGAAATCAGCTGGTTTATCAATATATTGATTCTGCGAACCGACTTTCTGCAGACGTACTTCACTCTTCAAATTGATTTATGGAATGTTTCTTGTGTGCAAATAATGCAAATTCAATAAATTCATGAAGATATTGTCAGCACAGGATCGTGTAATTTTTCTAGACCTTATTCCCACGGTAGACCAGGTATTTTCAGCACTCACCCTGGCTCCCTGCTCAAAGCTGCAAGCCTTCGAGGGAATGCGTGAAGGGAGCCGTGCTGACCTTTGTATAGGGGTTGTACTGAGTCGGAGCCGGAACCGAAGCCCGACCATTTTACTCGGAGCCGGAGCCGGAGCTGGAGCCGATTTTTTCCTCCGGAGCCGAAGCCGTCTGACATTTTCACGGCTCCACGTCCCTGCTTCGTAGTATTGATTTTGAGTAAAAAAAAGTTAACTTATCGCCTTTCACGTGTTCATGAATGTATTTCTAAGCATCTGTATCCCGTTCCATTTCTGTGGAGTACAGTAAGAGATATTTCGCCGAACGATATACTCAAGCCCGTTGCACAAATTGCACAATTTGAATGAAAATATGATACACAGATGTATTTGCAGTCGCAAATAATACGATGATATTCATAACACATTTCACAACGATCCCTGCAATTGCCACACATTTGCTATCACAAAGCCCTGTCGTTGATGCTCACATCCCATGCAAAGCAATACTCACTTTTAGGACACGTCTCTTATTTTCAATATGGCTACGTGTTTGCAAAACATGCAGTTAATAATATTTGAAACTGAGACCTAACCAATAAGACATACCGTAGACAGGTAAGAAAAAACAAATAAACGTCTGGAGAATGACCTCAACGTCTCGATGTTGCCTAATTACAAAGAGCAATTTTCGGTTTCAAATCAAATACAAATAAATATAAACAAAATTTGTACAGATACACTCAAGGGTTTATGATTAGCACGGCTACCTAAAACATCAATCGTGTCAGGTTGAGCCACTTATGTCCACACCCAAAGCAGGTCGCTTTGGAACACCACAAGATCCCATATTACCACCGAAAACGGTCACCAATTGGTCTACTGATAAGCATCTTCAGAACATTCTCGACCGAAAAGCTATCAGTCCTGTCTGTGTTTTGGTTCGCTTCATTTGGGCTATGCGCACGTTTTTCTACTCCGGTTCTTGGGACGAGATAGCAGTCATCACGCGCTGCACCAGCTCGTTCTTTGACAGGTTGGTGACGCTGTCGTCATCCGGCAGGATAAACACGTGGCGCATTTCACCCTCGGCCCCGCCAGCCACATACACACTTCCTTACGTCATATTGTTTCTCGCCACGAGATCAAAGTTCAAAAGGTCGTGATGTAGGTAGTCTCCGCCCAGCCCGAGTCAGGTACTCCACCGGTTGGCCGGGTGCGGCCAGGTCCGCGCAGCGCCGCCCTACTTCGTGGTCGACAGGGATGGCGTAGTCATACAGTTGCCTGTCGACTGAACAGCGATTCAGGACGCCATCCTTGACCCTCTGAAGCCGATCCCCGCAACGACCAGTGTTTGGTCCTTGGTTGGCCTGCAGCAAACAGAACACAATAATTAGGACATTTGTGGACAATAAATTAGGAAACTACATGTGTTATTATTCTACTTGTTCAGCAACTATTAATTTTAGAATATAATATATATTCAATAAAAAATTAAATACTTAATGTCACTTTAATTTCCACTGAACGCCACCAGGTGCGCCAACGACTGTCATCTCATGCAGTTATATAAATTCTGCCAAAAAAGTAGATCTGAGGCCAGTTGTACCAACAGAAAAATAGGTGACTGCTGGATTTTTTTTTTGTCTAAAAGTTACTTCACATACAGAGCATGAACAGTACAGCCCTATCCGTTTACGTGCCCGTCATGTTAACGCTCCATATGTGAAGCAGTCTTTAGGCAAAAAATTCCAGCAGGCGGCTATTTGTGTTCATAAAACTAGCTTCTAAAATTAACTTTGGCATGGACAATCCAGAACATTAACTATCCAGCATTCCCTGGACTGACGTACATTAGACACATAATTTTCTGGAAGATCACGCATAATGTAAATATGGCTTACACCATTCAGCAACTTGCTTTTGTTACACTTAAAATAAGCATCATTAAATATGTAGCAAAAATGGGCGAAGCAATTACAAGCCAAGCTTACATACCTACTATTTAGATAAGGCAAACACGAACATGCACTACGGCCTTTCAATCTTACCTCGGGACAAGTCAATAAACTTAGTTGCCCTTAAAAATTTAAATGCTACAAATTAAAGTTGTAGCAACAGTAAGGGTGAGTGAGACACAAGCAGAGGCTAAAACATCCAAATTATGTAAAATACTGGACATGCACTGCCCCCATTTCATGAGTCCACCCAACAATTCTATCATGTGAGACAAAATATTAGGCTTCTTGTAACTAATTTATACCGTAACTTTTAAAGGACATCATATTTCAATGAAATACTACACCTAAGACATCATTTTCAAAAAAAAATATGGCTTAAAAAGACAATAGAAGAGTGAGGTGTCCCGCGCCGCTGACGTCGCTACCGCGCCATGTTCCTAAAACCATCTCTTAAAACGAGTTTTCGGTAAGCAACGTTAAGATCACATGCCTGAAATTGAAAAACACACTTCAAAGTATCTTAAAATATGATCCATTGTTACTTACACTTCAGAAAAGGTCGCTTAAACAAAATAAAACCGGGAGCACTACGTTGCATCCACACACCCACGACGCCGGCGCGAAATGGCGGGAACCGGAAATCGTGGCTAGATACAAAGAAAAAGAATATTTCTTATAAATGAATTATACAACTAAATAACGCATTTTTTATTTTCTTTTAGACAAAATTATGAAAAAATCACAAAGGCTCGTCGTTAATGATAAACAGAGCAAGTTTTAACAGCACGTTTTTGTTGAATTATGGCGGCGAAATCTTTATGCCATTCGTAAAGGTACGCGCGACAAACGGCTGATAGCCATGCAGCGAAAAATTGAAGCGGGGAAGTTTTTTGTTTTGACTTGTCAAAAAATCTCGCCGTCATGGGGGTTATTTCCGCCGTAACGGGTCGTCTGAAGGTGGGAATGTCCCAAATTGAATCAAAATATTGATTCTATGCCCATATATGGTCAAAGCTCCGCCCACTAGAATCAATATTTTGATGCCTCCATATTTTGATTCCCGCCGCCTAGTTTGCCCAACTGGTCTGCCATCCACTGTAAATGTGTTCTTTTCCATGCAGTCTGTGTTGGAGATGTTCTTTCCAATGCATGACAGCAGCAGCTGCTCTGGCACCCTTTTTCTGCGCTTTTAGTGTTCCCGGATTGTCCCTTTCATCAGAAGCCATGAGCACTGGCCATGGCTGTGTCAGACTCAGAAGCTAGTTTCGGTGTGACACCGGGCTTCAGTTGGGATGTTGGCTGTTTGGGATGGCTCATGTGCTTGTGCGAATATGCCCATACATCAAACGATGCATCATTCGTTCCTCAGTTTACGACCACCGTGGCATGGGTAGTATTGTCGTCGCTGAGCTACTGTTGAGCTGATCGGTTGGAATAAAAACCATAGTAAGAAAAAGACGGTTGCTGGCCGGAGTTTGCCTGCCTCAGGACAAAATTAAGAATTTGTCTGAGATACCAGACCGAGATAGTGTGAGACCGAGATACGAAAGCGAGCATAGTCCGATCAGCCGCGCATTTAGTCTGTGACCTGGCCGACGACCGAAAATGTAGGTACCAAGATTCTTAAGGTGCAGCCCACCGCTAAAGTAATGTGTGGTTTTACCAATCTCAACGGATGGCTTTGAGTTTTGACCGCGATTTTTAAATGCGGACTGATTGTAAAGAAGACGTCAATAGATAAAGACTTAAAGTTGTAGCTGCAAGGGTGAAGATACATATAAGCTACATGTAAAGTCTCGTTGCAGTCTGGTTAATCGTTCCTAAGCTTCAGAAGCAGAACATACCCATGACTGAAACCACACATTACTTCTGCTGTGGACTGTACCTAATAGATGCTAGTGCTTCCTTCCAATTCTAATGTTTTGGTGCGTTTCAGATGTGAGGCACCTGATCAACAATGACAACTTACTGAAGGAGGGAGCTTCAGGGTGAGTAATGCATATCCTACTTTTTATGCCACAGCCCGTCGGCTTTGCATCGTACTTTGTTGTTGCAAATGAAAACGCTCATGGGTTTTCTTGTTTGGCCCTTGGCCTTGTGCGTCGTATCCGATGATAATTTTGTTATTTGCGTCCCACAGGGCATTCGTTCAGTACAACAAGGATCAGCTGACGCCGGTGCGCCTGCCGGGATCCGACTACCCCGCATTCATCACCGACTTCAACGACCTGGGCGGCTCCCGCTTCTTCGACCCGCGCACCAAGCAGAGTTTCCGCTTCGACCACCTCAAGAAGGAGGCGTCCGACCTCAAGGTAAGACTCATAAAGCCTTTTACTGAATTATTGGCAGGATAAGAATAATATATTCGGGCACTCCCGCTTCTTCGACCCGCGCACCAAGCAGAGCTTCCGCTTCGACCACCTCAAGAAGGAGGCGTCCGACCTCAAGGTAAGACTCATAAAGCCTTTTACTGAATTATTGGCAGGATAAGAATAATATATTCGGGCACCACTATTTCGTTCCGACCTCCACTATATCTGTATATAGTACCAGTACCAGCCGTCATCCCTACCTATTGGCGCAAATAACGCTTCAAAGCGCACGTAAGCCTGAAATCAATGATTACGAGCGACAATGTCCCAAAAATTGTCAATTTGGGTGGAAAATGACATCCAAATAAAATTCATTTTCCACTCTCACCATCAACTTTGAGGAGCAATTTTCCACTCCCAACCAAGAAAGTTTTTTTCCGAGAAAAGCAGTTGTGTGTATGCTCAGTTTGAACTCATACATTCTATATTTTATCATAAAAACATGCCATTGGTCCGTTTCCACTCTGTGGATCTAAGTAACCAGCCCTTTTATACAGCTCTCCCTACTTTTTAAGGGTTAATTTTCCCCTCTGACACCCCAGCTAGAAATCAATTTCGGGACACTGACGAGCGAGCGAGCGAGTGCATACTGAATTAAGGGAAAATCCTGAGTATGAGCGGCTGGCCGGCCGTGGGGCATAGGCGGCGGAACGGGGAGGGCACCGGGGCACCGTGCCCCCCTTTGATTTTGGCATTTTAACATTAGCCGCCCCAATGGGCGTTGCATGGAAAGAATGGGACCAAAAGTCGGCAGTGCCCCCCCCCCCCCTTAATTGAAGGTGTTCAACCGCTACTGCCGTGGGGACGCTCTTCAAAAGCTAATATCTTAGGAACGGGACACCCGATTGACAAGCGGTCTTCTTTACTGAATGTCACTTGGACGTAAAAGTTCTGTGGTGTGATGGCCACCATGCATTCTTGCCAACCACCGCACGTGGCGCGTGGCAAAGTTGGACATTTTTTAAGAACCCCCAAAATTGCAACCTCAATAACGGCACAACGGTTGGGCCGATTGAATTGAAACTCAATACACAGTTAGGTCTCCATCAGATAATTCATCTGCATGTGTTAAGGTTGGGGTGCTACTGCATGTGCGCACGTGCAGGGGGCGTTTCCAGATCTCGAGAACGGCTGGGCCGATTGCGCTCAAATTTGGTACAGGGTTGGGGACCGGTTAGTAGGGTGCCGTGCAAAAGTCATTTTGGACCCCGTTTGGACGTGCGCACGTGCAGAATGCCGCTTCCAGGCCTCAGGAACGGCTTGACCGATTGCGTTCAAATTTGGCACACCGCTAGCGACCGGTTAGAAGGGTGCTTTCCACAAGCCCGTTGGAAGTACCATCTCGCCCTTCCGCGCGTGCAGGGCTCACTATCTCGCTCGCTCGTTCTTCGCACTGGTATACTGACGCCAAGTCGTCATACCCTTGTTTGCCAACTGTCTTCACACCGTGGTCGGTCTTTGTGACGTGTCGCCCTCCTCTGGCAGCCGCACGAGGGTGACAGCACGGCCGAACCGTGGCGGCGCGCCCTTGAGGCCGAGATGACCGCCTACACGGCCGACCACTACAAGAACGGCGCGTGCGCCGTGTTCGGACACTCGAACGACGGAGACGTCACCCTGGTCGCCTGCATCGAGGACCACCAGTTCCAGCCCAAAAACTTCTGGTGAGTTCGCTCGCCGAGGGTCGTACTTCTTTCCTTCTGTATTTTATCGGGTAACGACGAACTTAGGTGTGTATTTCCACGAATTATTTTGTCATATGAAGCGATACCTGCGCCTGTATTAACACCAAGTAATGTTTAACTCAAACTTGCTCAACTCTGATTGCTTTCCGAATATAGTGTCTGGCATTATGGTCCTTGCCAGTGATAAGGTGGGATGTTTCCTGTAAGCACGGAGTGTCGTTAGCACTGTTTCGACCCGATCTCCTGATGCAGCTGAAGTGGCTGCACGGTCATGCCTGATGCCGCCGACTGCCGATGTCATGCCTCGCTGTTGAAGTGGCGCCTGTATGGTGCATTACACCACGGTTTAGGTTACGGGGTCGTCTGTAGACGCCATGCTCCGATGCTGAAGCGTTGACGCCGTGTCTGGCACCGTGCAGGAACGGCCGCTGGCGGTCGCAGTGGACGGTGACGATACCGTCGAGCGGCACGGCCCAGCTCAAAGGCGTGCTCAAGGTCCAGGTGCACTACTACGAGGACGGCAACGTGCAGCTGGTCTCCTCCAAGGACGCTGCCGACGGCGCCGTCGTCGCGGTCAGTAGACGGGGATATTGTGATTTGTGTTCCTGGGCCCTGGGGTAGTTATCGGTTAGCCGAGCTGAACCTTATTTTAGCATTTTGCGCCGCTGGAGGGTACCAAAGTAAGGACGTTTTCCGAAATTTCTCGCTTTTCTTCTCAAAACGCTGAGCATTACGGTCACTTGTTTCACCCAACTTCCCGTTGTGATGACCAGCTACATCGTGTGTCCCATCTGCCAGTCGGAGTCTCAGACGGCCAAGGAGGTGGTACGTCTGATCGAGACCTCTGAGAACGACTACCAGACTGCCATCTGTGAAAACTACCAGACCATGTCAGAGACCACATTCAAGGTAGGTCCACTTCCAGTCATGCCTAGCCCTCGCAGCTGTGGCTATCGCATGAGTGAACACATATAAACCTTCCCGACTGCTGCCCATGCGGTGAGCGCAGGAACCCTTCTCTTTCTTGAGTGGCGAGCGTTGTATCAAACTGGTTGCTTAGAGGTTTTATATTACGTTTTTCTTGGATTTCACTTTCGTGTGCCAGTATAGCCAATTATCTATGACACTCACCATATGATTGATTGATTTTAAAGTGTTTCTTATTCTGGTCTTTGTTGTTGAAAATGAGATGGCCTGCCCGATGTTATATCCTTACTACCTACCTGATGTTGTTCCTGCCCTTACGTTCGTTGCTGTTTCTGTCTTTGCGTATTCTGCTCTGATCCTGTACCGGTAAGTAAGTAGTGTAACGTGCACCATTGGCGACCTGTCTGATGACGCCGCCTCCGTCGCCAGGCACTGAGACGCCAGCTGCCGGTGACGCGCTGCAAGATCGACTGGGGCAAGATAATCCAGTACGGCATCGGCCGCGAGCTCAAGCAGCAGTGAGCTGTGCGCGCGGCCCACCTGTGATACGGCGGCGCGGTGCCGCCGCCGCCGCCGCCGCCGGCCGCTCTCTCACCGCTGACAATGTGTAACCAAAGCTTTTGTGGTCGCGGCGCCGCCCCCTGCCGGAACGGAGCGGCCGGCGTGCCAGCGATGCCCAGCTCGCGGCCGGTCGGCCGCCGCCGGAGCGCGTGTCATGCGGTAGTTACGCCGCCGATGAGAACGATAAACACGACACCCAGCTGCCGCTTGGTTAGCCAACAGCACGGCTTGCGTTTGAACCGCCCTGCGATGCGTGACTTTGGCAAAACCCTTTTGAATATGTGCTTACACCTTGTAGATAGCTGAAGCTATCGAGCTGTTTAATGATATGATCATCGATTCATTCTAAGAACAATGATATATTCCTAAGGATTGGTATAGGGTGGATTCGATTGTCTGCTTAAATTGTTATCGATGGGTGTTTCTATATAAATGAAATTTTGCCTTCTGTTGTCATTTAATCATGCAGTTAGTTGCGGTTTCCACTAGTTCAGCTGTATTAGAGAGATCTATGTTGTATTACTACTAATGAACTGATACATAGATGCCTTCTTAACAGCTTCTTGAAATGTACTACTTCGGGACGAAAAAGTGTGAACTAAAACTTGTCAAATCTTGACACATTTAGGTATTGGAAAAGGCCTGGCTATCAAGCACTGTTCGGAAGTTGAAAATCTAATCGATAATATTGGAGGAGTGGGCAAGAACAGCTCATAATGAGGCTTTTATTTGCCATCCAAAGTTGAAGCATTTTTCACTAGCTCGAAATGCTCTGTGGGAAATGTACGATAATGCAAAACTGCGCAATCCGTGCAATTCATCTGAGGATGTAGTATGGCCAAGCCTCGCCGCCAGGTATCAGCCGAAATGTTAGCTGACAACAGTTACAGTTTGATACACCGGGACTGACGACGTGTCTTGTTTAGCGACGAGTACGAGCAGGTGGATCCGCTGAATGGGTCACACTGCGATGGTTGAGTACTCTGTAGAGGATGTCTCGTAGAGAGTGCCACAGCAGCCATCGAGCCGAAGAGAGACGGAATGCGCCGCGGTCCTTTCAGTCCCTTGGGCGATCCGTGTTCGCTGAACTGAGTGGCCGACTGAACTATTAACAATGTATTCCATTCTTTACCGAATGAATCAAAACAGTCTGCAATCAATTTTCGGACGCAGGGCAGGAAGCGGTCTGTAGGCTGTAGGACGCTCATTGAGCTCAAATTAGTTCGTAGACCATGCGGCCGCGGCCCGGGGGTGAGAACCACAGCCCTCCATCCAGGGTAACTGTAAAGTAAAAGCGTATCAGAACGAGACTTGCACATGGAATTGACGATTGATATGTGACGTCCAAAAGATTGTTAAAGATTGTCCTGTGACTGGTACAAATCGCACTTAAAGCTACCCAAAAGCTACCTTATTAAAGCTATATTTGTTTTAGTGGTCTCTACCTCCGACAAAGGCAAGTTCTTGTATCAACTGCGCCAGCATTGTCGAAAGGCTTGTCAACTGGCGAAGCGTCGCCGCGCCGCTGCGGGATCGCTGGCGCTGTGCCGTTTTTTGTAATATTTTTACGGATAGCTCGTGAATGGCTGGAAAACATTTTTGAAAACATCAGGACTGAAGTGACAAAAGTTGACTTTTAACCGGTCAAAGATGTCCGTCGAACTCAGTGCTTATCGAGATCAGCACTTCAAGGGGTCGAGGGCTGAGCAAGAACGTATGCTGAGGATCTCTACTACTCTGTACATTGGAAATATGTCCTTCTACACTACAGAAGAACAGATCCATGAGCTTTTCTCCATGTGTGGGGATGTAAAGAAAATCATTATGGGCCTTGACAAATTCAAGAAGACCCCCTGCGGATTTTGCTTCGTTGAATACTACAGACGCCAAGATCTTGACAACGCCATGAGATTTATCAATGGCACGAGGCTCGATGATCGTGTCATCAGAACAGATCTGGATGCTGGATTTGTGGAAGGAAGACAGTATGGCAGAGGAAAGTCTGGTGGACAGGTCCGTGATGAATACCGTGCTGATTACGATGTGGGGCGGGGTGGATATGGAAAAATCATTCAGCAGAAGACTGGCATTGAGCCCACTGACATCTGAAGATGCTAAAAGGCATCAGGGTTCAGTTGAAACAGAGGAAAAGATTCATCCAGAAGTGTCCATCATTATTCATCATTTGAAATTCAACAAATTCTTTGGGAACCTCTCCTGTATCTCATGCTAGTTGAGTTTGTTGTGCTTCCTGAGAAGTATTGGAAGCACACTGAGTGTACCATTTCACCTTGTGTCAATACATGTAACAATGTTCATTCCAGCTTCTGTTTATTGTTATTTCCAGCTGAATATATGGCCTTGTTCCAGCCACAGTAAAGGTTGCCACTTGCCAGGGACAAATAAACATCAGTCTCAGAGACTGAGGAGACTGAGTCTCTTTCACAGAACATTTAAAGTGCCAGATGACAAGTTAAGGTCCTAAGAAGTCATAAGTTTCTTTTTGATTTAGTGCAGGTAATTTTACATGGAACTTCTGAATTGAGTGGAATTGGTTCACCTGGTAAATGATTACTGACAATTTGTGTTGTGCCAATATCAAATTTAACCCTATTCCTGGCGGGCTCCGCCGGGACAAGAAACTGGCGGGGGGGGGGGGGCCGATTCGGCCCCCCCCTGAGATCTCGAGAACGAAGCAAGATAGCGACAAGCGGTAAACGGCATCGGATACGCACGGCCAAGATCTACAATTTTTACTAAGGTCATTTTCAGGTCAGGTCAAAGATGACGTCACACGGGTCGAAAAAGTCAAAATGGCGGCGCTAGATATGGAGAGAGTTTTTCTCGAATAACTTTCGAATTAGTCAAGATAGGAACAAACTAAGGGCATCATCGTGATCCTCTCGTCAATCCGCATCGAATGATATATATGTTGACCTCGAAAGGTCAAGGTCAAAGGTTGACCTCAGGTCACGTGACCTCGAGGTCATCATGTATATCATTCGATGCGTCTTGACGAGCTGAACACAATGAGACCATCCACGCGTCTGTATCTTGTTCCTGTACGGAGTTATTATCCAAAAACCTTTGGTGACCTTTGATGACGTCACATGACCTCACAGCTGCCCAACAGCAAAACAGACCTCAAGGTAGTGAAGGTTGATCGTATATGAAGTCATGTATGGTATATGGGGCCATTCCGACCCGTTTTAGTGGTAAAAACAGGGAGTTGATTTTTCCCCCATTGACTTATAATGGGGAGGTCGCGAAATTGACCTGACCTTAGGTCACCGATATCAAAATTCCGAGATATACAAATTGCACATACTGGTACCCTAACTAAACCCTGAAGAGAAGAAATTGATCGGTCAAAAACTCTAGCTCTGGCGTGATTGCAAACTTTTCTGAGGTAGGGTCACCAAACCGCCTCTGGTGACCTGACCTGAGGTCAGATCAACTCAAAATTTTCAGACATGTTGCGTAGAAGCCTTTTAGGAAAAGTCAGAAAATTTGAGCTTCCTAGCTCAACGCGTTTGGGAGATATAACCAAAAAACCTCAGGGGGGGGGGGCTCCTGAGGCCCCCCCCCCCGCCAGGAATAGGGTTAAGTGAAGGCACGGATTAGCTATGCAGTTAAAAAGACAAAGCATCATGTTTCTACAGTGGCCGTATTCATCGATCAGGTCATGAACGGCCACCAGCAGTTTTTTGGCTATAACTTTTGATTAAAGGGACTATCCCACCTTTAACATGGGGTTTGAGTTGAGATAGCCAAGTTTGCGGCGAGGTTCAGAAACCACTATCTATCTAGGTTGCAACCCCCGCGGCCTCTTGGTGTTGAAGAAATTCGTTCCCTTCATTTGAAAATGGGCCTTGTACAAGGCCCTATCTTCAACATGGAGCGACCGTTAGTGTGACGTCACCTCGCTTAGTCATTCTGATTTAAATGGGTTTGTTCGTTGAAAAATCGCTTAAAACTTGGTCTGAACTTTGTTGTGGTGCCTACAGAGTAAAAAGAATCAGCTTTATGACAGTAATGTGGCCTGGGGAAGGAGGTAATTTTGGGCTGTGACGTCACATATTTGAAAGTTTGTGTTTGGAATATGGGAAGTTTAATGAAAAATAAATGCCAAAACCGTGTTCCTGGTCATCCAATCTATAAAGTCGGGCACAATTTAACTGGTTTTAACAACATTTTAGAAGGTGGGATAGTCCCTTTAAGACGTGCTAGAGCGATGAAAACACGTCAGATGTATTCAGCTCAACGATACGGATCGACTGATAAGCAATATGACCCTTTCCGGTCAGGTCATGACCGTGACCTGTGGTCAAATTTTCAATGACTTTTCAAGGTCAACAAATAGTTCATTCGACGCGTCTCGACGAGAAAAACACGATGCTGCCGAAAGTAATTTCGTGGCTCTCTTGAGTCAAAAGTTATTGACGCAAGAACATTTTCGTGAAAACTGCTATTTTTACAGTTTTGCCCTCGGGAGGCTAAACTGTTGACCTGAGGTCAAATCTGAGAACAATACTCAGAAAGGTCTGTAAAAGGGCCATCAAATGCGCTTTTCCGCGGCGCTGTAGCTCTATTGGTTCCCGAGTTAGCCGTTGGCAGTTTCCAAAATTGTTGTTGAAATGGACTACATTTGACCTATGCTGACCTCCGGCGACCTGACCTTTGACCTGAGCAAAAAATGACTGAAGTTTTTCCGTCATTATTTTTGACGCTCTTTCGAATGCCGCTTACCGCGTGTCGCTACGTGGCCCAGGAGCAGAGCTTATGGACATCCCCCCGGCCCGGCGCGGAAGTCGCGGAGCACCGGTAAGAGTCAAAAGAGGAAAGGTAAGCCTCTTTATCTTTTTCACCAGATAAGGATGCCTGTGAGTTTGGGTTAGACCCAGGGCTTAGACCAAAGTAAGACTACGGTCGTTGGTCGGTTGGGGAGAAATTTGACATTGACATGCATTCAATGCATTTTGTGACATCCAAGATGCATAAAAGCACTGGTGACGTCATTTCTACCATTCCATAACTTTATTGAGTAGCCTTGGACAGAAGCGCAAAACAGAAAACTGTTCAGTTTATCTTGCTGCCTGCGCTGCCGGAAGCAGAATCAGATCCGATGACGTCAGATTATGTTCAGCTGACCAATAGAAGAAAGAGAACAATAGGCTGTGACGTCAATAATCGCTGCCGATCTCTTCTAGTTGATTATCTCAGCAGTACAATAGCGAAATGCTGAACAGACTCTTATTTTGTTATGATAGTGGAGGAGCTGGAGCCTGGAGGAGCTTAGGAGCTACAATCTAGAGGGTGAATATTGCCTTTTTTCCTTAGTATACCTTTTATGAAATTTCTACAACAAATATCTGAAAATTGTGCATTCAGATGCAATCATTTCCTTATAACTTCATGTTTGAATTAGCCACCGCTTGAGGGGAGAATCAATTTGAATTCAATTTCGCTTGTGAGTTATGAAGGTCAATATTTGGCTTAGTTGGAATTCCAAGGCATCTGAATATAAAAATTTTGGCTGTGCATACCTTGAAGGTTCTTGAGTTAGACCTGGTTGCTGTTCGGCTGTCAAATTTTCTTATTGGTCTGATTTAGCTCTGCGACATTTCATCAATTTGAATTACATGTTTGTTTATTTTTTACCAAAAGTTTGTTATATTTTGTTATGTGCTTGATTCTGTTTCAGTCGGGGGAGGTTTGGTCAATCGTTGTCATTTTTAGCACGTGCTATTTTTGTCACACGTGCTAAAAATGACAACGATTCTGCTATTTTTGACAACGATGAGGCAGATTTCACTCCTCAGCGAGGAAATGAAGATTTTGGAAAGATAAACACTGATTTTGGAAAAGAAGTGCTGCCACCTGGTGCAAGACGAAGAATCCAGCTTTAATATGCCTGTTATTTGTATGGTAGTTTGTTTTGTGGCCTGAAGTTGGAACTTAAAATTGAAGCATCCGAAAATGATCGATATTGATCGAAAACATGATGTTGATGAAAAAATAATATTTTAAGTTGAGAGAGGAGGCCATTTTATCCAGATGCAGTAGTTTACTTCTTGAAATTATTTTTGCTAATGACGGCTGCTAATTATCCCTCATTACATGGCAGTCGTCGTAAGCAAAAATAATTTCAAGAAGTAAACCACCGCATCTGGATAAAATGGCCTCCTCTCTCAACTTAACATATTATTTTTTTCATCAACATCATGATTTCGATCAATATCGATCATTTTCGGATGCTTCAATTTAAAGTTCCAACTTCGGGCCACAAAAAAGGGTATACTTCAACGTTGGACTACCATACAAACAACGGCCATATTAAAGCTGGTTTCTTCTTCTTGCACCAGGTGGCAGCACTTCTTTTCCAAAATCAGTGCTTGTATTTCCAAAATCGTGATTTCCTCGCTGAGGAGTGAAATCGGCTTCATCGTTGCTAAAAATAGCTGATAGCGTTGTCATTTTTAGCACATGGTTGCCAAAAATGGCATGTGCTAAAAATGACAACCATTGACCAAACCTCCCCCAACTGGTTTGTAGATTCAAGATAGGACTGTTGCATGCATTTGATGCTTTCTTCACTACTCTTGGCTTATAAGAAAGCATCATAAATTGTTTACCCAAGTTCCAATGTGTAGGCATAGTCCTTTCACTGATTTTCTGCTGCACTGGAAGTTCTTGTAAATGCTAACTGTATCTTGGTTGCAGTGACCAAAACATCAGCTGAGAATGTCTGGTGAAGGGGTGTCACGTATCAAGTATGACTGGTACCAAACAGACCAGGATGTTGTCATCAACATACTTGCAAAGTCACTTTCATCTGAGGCTGTTTCTGTCAAGATTGAGTGTTCAGCAGTGGAGGTCAATGCAACTCTGCCTACAGGCAGCCCATACAGCCTGCAGCTGCACCTTTTGCATCCTGTGGTGCCAGACTCCAGCTCATGGCGTGTCTTGCCCAGTAAACTGGAGATCAAGCTCCGCAAAGCTGAGGCGTACCGGTGGGCAGCACTGGAGGGCAGCGGCGAGCCTCCGTCGCTGCGGACGGTCGGCGCCGGCGCAGCGGCGGCTGGCGGCGGCGGCCTGCCCTCCCCGTACGCCCGCCCGCCAGCGGCGGCCGCCCGCGACTGGGACGCCATCGCGGCCGAGCTGCGCCGCCAGGAGGAGCAGGAGAAGCCAGAGGGAGAGGAGGCGCTCAACAGTCTCTTCCAGAAGATCTACGCTGACGGCTCGGACGACGTGAAAAAGGCGATGGCCAAGAGCTTCACCGAGTCGGGCGGCACCGTGCTCAGCACCAACTGGAACGACATCGGCAAGAAGAAAACCGAGGTAAAATCACCCGATGGCATGGAGTTCAAAAAGTGGGAGAGCTAAGTCGCTTGATGGGCGCATGAATGAACACAGACATAGCGTTTGACAAGGTGATGCCTCAGGCTGTCGGACAGTGCATCAAAACTTTGTTTTGGCGTTAAGAGACTTTCCGTTAGTCTCGTTTCTGCTCACGGAATTTGATCCCAACAGTCGTGCGTTGGCGTGGCGCTTCTGCTACTGCTCTAAGCGCAGGGTGCATTTTTGTCTGTTCAGGGTTTATTCTTTGTTCAGCCATTCTTTACGCATGCTTATGCTTCAAACCTTGTGTGATGAATAACTTGTTGTGTTGTATAGCTACGTTCGAAATGTTTTGCGAGCTGAGTAAAGGCTGGCCATTTGCGAAATAAATCCGGCAACCAATCGTGGCCGATACAAAGATTGGAATGGCTGGCAGATTACAAAGAGCTCACATTGGTGTTTGATCGGAAAACCGCTAAACTGGCCACCTACATTTGTTCACGTCATCCATTGTGCGAGCGAGTGTAACCATTCTGATAGTGTCAATTGTGCTTAATATATGAATATTGAGATTGTATGACCTCTCGTTGGCATTCAACATCACGTGGTGACAAAGAAGTGCAAAAATCCCGCAGAATGAAGATCTATATGGATGTTAGTTTGGACTGTCCTAACATCCATATTCTGTTCTGCACATCCTTTCAGAAGAGGCCAGGGATGGAATGGGCAGCATGAGTCGCATTGCAACAGATAACGATTGCTAGTTGATCATTGATTACATGTCTATCACAGTATAAATTAGACTGTGCTGCGCATTTTCACAATATATACGTAAACCTTCTACCCAAAGACGTTCCAGCAAATCACAGTGCAGTGATGATTATACAAAGATATATATTTGAGTTGCCGGCATCTGCAGCATATTTCGAATGCATGTTGAGTAAAACACTGGTAAGTATTGGCACCCATCACATGAAACAGCCATCGATTATGAGTGAGCTTGCCCCGATATGTGAAGTAACTACATCGTCGTCGACGCGACATGATGAGTATGCATGGATGGCCCGCTGCGGGGATGATTGGCACACTGGTTTCGCGCTCACAGCACAGAGTTTTGTCTGCCTTAGACGGTCAGTCAATGAACTTCGATAAGCCAGGTGGGTCCCGTCGGCAGAGAGCGACCCGACTGGACGACCTCACATCACTGATCGCCAATAGGCTCGACACATTCGGACCAAACTGGCACTTTGCATTACTAAGCGTCAGCACTGTCTGAAAAAAGGCACTTCGCAATATATGGAATGAGAGCACACGATAGCACAAAAGAGCTTGTCCTGAACGAACTAACTGTCATGCACATGGTTGATGGTTTTAAATCGAAGTATTTATAATGTGCCGTAACGCTAAGCTGGCATCTTGAAAAATCAGCAATAAACAGCTCACGGGAATGACATCGATGGTTGGTCCCATTCATATTTTACCAACTTTACTTCTATCATTTGACATTTCGCACATGGACAACAAAAACGCGGTATCATGGCAAAAGATAATCCCTACTTAATTTATCTACAATAGGAAATGGAGTTTTTGTAAAATATAAAATGTTTCCGACGACTTAACATTAAAAAGATCGACAAAAAAGCGACATGATTAAAAGGCACATCAGGGAAAACATTACCTTTGATGTTAAACGCGCAGAATGACAGCCTAACAAGCCTAACGTTCCTTTAAATGAAGATAGAGATATCAGCCAACGCAATGGCCAACAGAGCATGAACGGACATCCAACACGCAATATATGAAGCAACATGTTTTGGCACGGGCGTCGACGCACTACATACAATTGTGTTAGTAAAATAATTGTTGCATGAAAAGTTTATGATGAAACCCAATGACGACAACGGTCCCATTATAAACACGTCCCAAAAAGCACAACGGCAATGGTACAAAAAGCACATGCATTGATCACATGACCTACAATAAGCTGTCCACAGGCAACGCCCGGGTCAGTCCTTGCCCGACGGTTCTGTAGATACCGCACGGGAACTGGAAGTGGTCAGCCACCGAACGTGCCGCCGGAAGACCGACTGGCTGATTAGATTGGCTGGCGAGACGCCGGCAATAAACGGGCGTGACATGTTAAGTACGTCCCATGAAGCGACCCCTACGCTACAATTCGTTTACATCTTGGAATAGCACTTCAAGAAGAGTAAGCCCGTGAGAAAAAGCTATCCCGCATGCGACAACTTTACCTTGCCCTATACATCAAAGCTCTTCCCCCCTTTAATCATTGGCACCAGCAAAAGGCACACCTTGACAGCCGTCGTTCAAGCCCCTAACAATGACGAAGGGTTGCCACCAGAAAACGATAATGACTGGTAACAAATCAGCGTCCCCAGAGCCCCTTGGAGCCCGCCCACCGACCCACCCGTTCGGGCGCAGCTGACCGAACCGCCGTGCCAGGGCGGCTGACCGACCGCTGCGCTTCTGGCCCGGCGCGCCGAACCTGTGGCTCCGCTCAGCGGCGGCACAGCAGACAGCTGCCGGCGTCGCGGCGCAGCAGACACACGGCGTGGAACGCGTGTCCGCAGCGGAAGGTGAGCACGCCGTGCGGCTGCAGCAGGTGGCGGTTACGGAGCGGCAGGCAGCAGGCCGGACAGTCGGAGGTGAGAGAGACCAGCGTGCAGCCGCCGGCAGCGGGGACTTCGGGCAGAGGAGGGGGCGCCGGCCGACCCAGCTCACTGAACAGCACCTCCAGAGCCTGGGGAGACGGAGAAAGTGTGAATTGTGAGGCCAGGGACAAAGATCGATGCTACCGTGAGACAATGAGAACCGTAACAGCGCCTCAGACTACATCAAACTCAAAGAGAGACAGCGAGGAACGCGACGGCGCATCGGGACAACAGAGCACCATACCGGACAACAAGGACCACCTACGGAGCGGCAGACCAAAGATCGGTGACAGGAGGGGTTGAAAAGATACGCCGAGTTAAAGGAAAGACACGAGCTGGCAACATGAGGGGTAGCCAAATTTGATCTGTATTCTGTAACAGGAGGGAAAATATCAATAGGCGGACATGGCATCAGGAAGAGAAGATGCGTTTAGGTATCGTGTAAAACACACTTACATCCTCTGGCACCGGAGTCGGACGGAGTCCAAGCGTCTCAGCGCCGAAGGCTCGGCCCAGTCCAGGAGCCCGGCGGTTCAGCATGGTGCTCAGAATGACGTCCCTGTAGCAGCTGAGGACAGAATGGATCAGACTCAAATACCGGCGTTCGACCAGTCCGGTGTAAATAACGCTCATAGAACCAGCGCTATTGAGCAGGCGGCCAACGTTAACCGAATCAGACTTCTACTTGTAGACTCAATGTCGATATAAAAACAGCAAAGCTGCTATTCTGGTCTCAATATTGCAATACACCGCAAGCGTTTTGCTAACCTTACTTGATCCCATTACTTCTGATGCGTAAAACCCAAATGGAAGATAGCACAGCAAAATAACGCTCAAGACGGCGTGCGTAACTAGACGTCGTCAACCATCTGAACATTCCCACTCTCGATCTCTTCCCCTCACCTGGCGGTCAGCTGACACGGCGCCACCTCGGCAGCGGTTTGCAGCAGCCGCACGGCCGCCGCCGGTCCCTCCTGGCTGGTAACAAACGCCAGTAGCGTCTGAACGGTCAGGGGCCGCCGGTCTCCCTCGGCCGCATCCACCGACTGGAGCGGGTCCCCGCAGCTGTGACAGTGGTCCGGCCGGGCGGCGGCCAGTGCGGTCAGCACGGGTCGCCAGGAGGGCAGGTGGGGGCCGGCTGTCTGGAGCAGCGCGCAGTCGTCCAGTTGACACAGTACTGCTGCCAGCGGCCGGCGGTCGGAGCTGTCACCGCCCGTCTGCAGCCAGCCGGTCCAGTCACCGAGGGTCCACAGTTCCTCAGAGAGCTGTTGTCCGCTCAGCCGGGCGGCACACAGCCGGCGCAGCAGAGCAGCGGCCGGCCGGGGCGCGCGGTGGGCGCCGGGTCTCGGCCAGCCACACTGACACCGCAGCCCCACCGCCTGCTGCCGCCACACGGCAGTCAGCGCCGACTCTGCGGCCGCCGACAGCTCGGCGTCAGCCAGCACCGCCGTCGCCACCGAGCCTCCAGCCGCCGTCAGGTACGCAGTAAATGCGGCAGCGACGCGGCCAGGGGCGACGGCATAGCGGCAGATGTACAGCACGTCCAGCGCACTCAGCCGATCGCTCTGCTGGACACAGAAGGCGGCGGCGGCGCTGGGACTCGCGCGGCACAGGCCGGCCCCCAGTCGTGCCAGAGTCAGCCAGTCGAGCTCAGCTCCCGCAGTGAGCTCCATGGCCAGTGCGGCGTCTCCGGGCCGAGCCGCGAAGGGTCCCAGTCGCGCCTCAGTGCCGCTGAGCAATAGACGCCAGAGACGGGCCCGTGCGGAGGCAGGTAGCGCACCCAGTCCCGCACGCAGCTCGGCGCCGGGTACCAGATAGAAGAGGCGGAGAGTGAGCAGGCCGGCCAGCCAGGCGGGGCTGCCGGCGACCGGTTCGTCGCTAATACTACTCAGTTCTGACGGCTCCGGGTCACAGGGGGTTGGTGAGACCGCAGACTGGGCGTCTTTCAGTTCCTCCACGACAGACGGGTTCTCGCCCTCTTCTTCACAACTGGTGACACTTCGCTCAACACAGCTGCCTTCTGTTTCGTTATCGAGGTGGATAGCGGCTAGTTTGTCGGTTATGTCTCCGTTGTGCTCAATGTCGCCATCTTGACAATCCGCCATTTGTGCCGAATATAAGGTCTCTTCTGAAAACTGTACGCCACTATCTGTATCTGTGCTGGCCTCAATACTTCTGCAGAACTCACTTATTGCGCTCGGACTCTCCATAGATTCATTCCCGCTGCCCAGTTCGCCTAGATCAGAGGGCCTGCTTCCGTTACTTTCCACTGACGTAGCCAACGCCGCCGTATCTTTCGCTCCCTCTTCTGACCGACCGCTAGAGGCCACCGCGCCGTCACCGTTCTGTTCAGAGGCGTCAGCACTATCTGTCACAGTGACACAATCCACCAGTTCGTCACACACCTGTTCATCGCTCGCCAGAAAGAGTAGAGCACTGCCGAGCCCTCGCGACACCTTATCTCGTAGCGCGGTCGGCCCCGGCAGGACACCATTACACACAAACTGATGTGGCTCGGCGCAGAGCTGGCGCAGCGCAGGGTACGTTTCACGGTCCGACACAGTCTCAGGCGATGACTTTTGCAGGCGACGGTGTACTGCGGCCAACGAATCCACCCAACGGAGCACCTGCGGCAGGCTTGGCCGGTCGGAGAGGGTCGCCGCCGCCGCTGCCAGCTCGGAGAGAGCTGTCTCGGTCGGGGACACGGTAGGACTGTTTCCCAGCGACGCACTGTCGACGTCCCGGCGGTCTCCGCTCGTAGCACCACTGACGTTCAGACACTCTACGCGCGTAGGGCTACCGACATCCTGGCTAGGCTCCCTTTGCTCCAGCCGCTCCGGTGTCCTGTCAGGAGCGTTCGAGTCACCGACTGGCCAGGAGGCTTGCCGACGCCAACGCTGCACTA